CAAAGCTTGCCAGAGATCTGAAGTTTACCCAGGGCCTCAGGGACCAGTAGAGCCAAGCAGTGGAATTTTATTATATGTATAATTTCTCCAAATGATGATCTCTTTGATTCTTTACAGTAAATGTGAAATTGACTTTAGATTTTAGGCCCACAAATATATTTATAAAGGCATTTTCATCTTCTCTGAGTGATGAATACCTTTGCAAACTGGCTAATAGACACATGTCCATACACATCTCAGTGGTTCCTTCTATTTTGAATTTCCTTTTGAAAGTTGTCTTTGATCCTCCCACTTTATAGTCAGAATTGGATTAATTCTTTAAAGCAAACAGACGATTTTCCTTGATGTGGATCTATGGGAAGTAGTCCAGAGTCATTTAGAACCAACTTTCCCATTCCCAAGCAATGTGCTTCAGCAATATAGGTTGTCCCATAAACTATGGGACAGATTATCTAAGTAGCCCCTTACTACCTTCTGAGGAAAAATGAGCAGCACACAAAGGCAGGGAAGCAAGAATGCTTTAAAGAGAAAAAACCCTGCCCTGGCCAGTTTGATTTAGTGATTAGAGGGTCGGCCTTCGGACTAAAGGGTTGCAGGTTTGATCTCCGGCCCTGGTAGGGGTCATGTGGGAGGCAACCAATTGATGTGTTTCTCTTACATGAATCTCTCTCTCCCTCTCTCTCTCTCACCCTCTCTCCTCCTCTCTTCCTCTCTTCCCCTCCCTCCGTCGCTCCCTCCCTCCCTTCCACTCTATCTAGATAATCAATGAAAAAAAAGTAAAGATGATTGTTTAAAAAATACATATATATAATATAAAAATAAGGGAAAAAACCTAAGAGCATTTAGCTGTGAAGCCTTGAGTAAGAGTGTGCAGGGTGTTTCGTTTCCATCCCAGTACCTAGCTCGCACTGGGGGCCTACTGCCACTGTTTGCTGAACTAGAGAAGTAGATGTTAGTTTCGTTTCTTGGAAGATGTTCTCTATTAAACACTTTGCCAGAAACCCAGCTTATTCTCACCTAAGTGACATAGGTTTGTTGTTGTTGTTTTGTGTTTTAGGAGGAGGGAACGCTTTTTCTTTTTTAAATCTTCACTGGAGGATATGTGTATTGATTTTAGAGAGAGGAAGGGAGGGAGTGAGAGAGTGAGAGAGAGACATCGATGTGAGAGGAAAATGTGGATCAGTTGCCTCTCATATGCACCCCAACTGGGGATTGAACCACAACCTAGATATGTGCCCTGAGTGGGAATTAAACCTGCAATCTTTCCAATGCATGGGATGGCACTCCAACTAACTGAGCCACCCAGTCAGTGAAGTGTCAGTTTTTATTAGGGAGAAGAATAGCTTTGTTTTTCTATATAGAATTAGGAAGAAAACTCTAGTTCCTCATCAAACATTGGTTCAATTTTTAGTTCTTTCTTTTATTTTATTTTAAATTATTTGTTTTTCTTTTCCTGAATTATTCAGTTGAATTCTTAGCTTATGGTTTTTCAGTGATTATTCTTTAGTTATATAATCATTTAAGTCTAGCATTTCTCACTTAGCTATATCCCACAAATTTGTGATATAGTATTATCCTAAGTGTTAAGTATAAAGTATTTTAAAACTTTAATTTTTTTTTCACTGACCCATGAATTATTTGCAAGTAGATTTTTAAGTTACACATGTCTTGGGAAGGTTATCTATGTTATTGGTTTCTTATTTATTTGCATTGTGATTTGTATAATATAGACTTTTTGATATTTATTGAGATTTGCTTTGTCACATATTATAATATAGTCAATGTTCATAAATATTTTATATATCTTCAAGAATAATGTATATTTGCTTATCTTCATTGGACCAAGGTTGTGATTAGTGTTTCAATCTTGTCTCTCCAGGCTGATTGTTGGGTTATCTGTCAGTTTCTGAGGCAGCTGAGATAAAATGTCTGTATGTTTGTAGATGGAATGTAAATTGAGGTTATCATGTTAGGCATGCAAAAATTCAAAACTGTTATTTCTTCTTGGGGGGAATAATATCTTTTATTAATTGGGGTTTATTTTATAACTAATAATGATTTTTTTTCTGGCTCTATTTTGGCTCCTCTTTGCTTGGCATATATGTTAGTATTCATTTACTTTCAATCTTTATGTATTTTTAGTTTTAAATGTGTTGCTATTATGAAAACATATAGATTTTTAAAATACAGTCTGGAACCACTATATTTCAAAGGTGTCTTGTTTTGTGTTTCTATTCACCTAGCTTTAGGTTTGTGTGTTTCTTCATTTTTACTTTTTATAGATAGGATCAATAAAGTTTTAATGTACATTTCTTCCTGCTAATTCTGAAGTTTTATGCATTATTTCTCTCCTTGAACGATACACTTCCATTTCTCATATTGCATACTTAACAAATCTGAAGTTTACCAATTTTGCCACCATTCTCTTGAATAAATGCAATGCCTTAAAACATCTCTCCATCTTCATGTTACTGCTATTCAGCATGTTAGAACATCTTGCTTTTGGAAACTCCAAGTTAGTTGTTAAAATTTTTTTTTTGAACAATCAATTTGTTAGACTTATACCATATTTTTAATTTTCTTTGTTCACTGTCGCTTCTTGTACCTCATTCTTTCCTTCTGCACTGAATTTCCTCTTTCTGAGTTATATCTTTAGGAAGATCTGGCACCGAGGGTCTATTGTGGTAACTCTTATTGTCTTTGAAAATGAAGATATATTTAGTTTGCCTTGAGAGTTTACTTAGATTAAAAAAAATTCTCAGTCAACAGTTATTTGAGGATATTATTCTGCTTTTGTTCCATCTTCAGTTGTGGCTTAGATGCTCACTGTCTTGTCATCCCTTGAAACCTTCTTTTTCTCTGGTACTTTTCAGAGTAGTTTTGCCTTAATAAGTTTAGACTTGTATCTCATTTAATTTACTCTGTACAAGGCTTGTTTTACTTCCTGAATGTAAGGATTTATGTTTTGGGTCAATTTTGGATAATTGTATCCATTATTCTCTTGTCTCTCCAGGAAATGTATTTGTTGTACTTCATCATCCAGCCATCCACAGTGGTTAACATCTCGTTTTATTTACATTTATATAACTTTACATTTTGTATTCTGGCAATTTTCTCACATTTATCATCCTGTTTACTAATCTTCACTTCAGATGTGTTTATTCAAGTGTTTAAATTGTCCATTGAGTATTTAATTTGTCATGATAGTTGTCATTTCTAGAAGTAGTATTTGGTTCTTTTTCAAGCCTGATTTTTTTTTTGAAAAGTTTTTGATTCCTTCTTTTATATTTTCAATCATTTTAATCATATTTCATAGTTCATATCTGAAATTCTTGGAGTTTAATTTTGCCCTGCAGTTTATTTTTTTGCTGTATCATGGTGAATTGTATTTTAAATGTCATATTCCGAGTTTATCTTTGACAGAGCTTTATGGGAATCCCACAGTGGAGCATGTGTTGTGGACATGTTCTGTGGAGTAGGGTTTTGTTTGCTTTTCCTTGTGTCCCTGGATATTTTAGCCCAGTTCTAATTTTCATGTTAATTTCTTAGCTTGGTGTTCCTAGAATATGTATGGGGTATCGAGGGCAACTGCAAACTTAACTCTGTGCAGTAACTTCTATGTGGTACAGGCCCACAGTCACACATTCTTGGGCAGCTTTACCCTCATCCCAAACGTGGCTCAAGAGAGAATGACTCTCTTTTCTTGATGGGTATTGGCAGACAGCTAAAGCAATTTACTTTGCTTTTATTTCTGGCCCTTGGGGATTTTCATTACTTTCCTGTAAGTGCAGAAAGGATGTTTGTTCTATTTTATTTAGAATTTAGTAGCAAGAGGTTTTGGAGAAACTAAGCATGCCATGTTGCCAGAACCAGAAGTCTGTGGGAAGTCATTTACATTTATTCAAAAATAAATCATGTGATGTGCAGTAATTTCAATGTATCATTTACATGTGATGTATTTTAGAACATGAAACATTTGGGGATTAAAAATCTATTTAATTACTTCCTTGTTTTAAACTACCTGGGAACTATTCTTTCTAAATTTGCATTGGAAATGTCTTTAGTTTTTTTTTGTTGTTGTTAATCCTCACCCAAGGATATTTTTCCACTGATTTGTGTGTGTGTGTGTGTGTGTGTGTGTGTGTGTGTGTTTAGATAGAGTGGAAGGGAGGGAGGGAGGAGAGAGAGTGAGAGAATCATCCATGTGAGAGAGACACATGGATCAGTTGCTTCCTGCACAATGCTAACCAGGGCCTGGGATCAAACCTGCAACCCAGACATGTGCCCTTGACCAGGAATTGCATCCGAAACCCTTCAGCTCCTGAGCCAAACCAGCCAGGGCTACATTGGAAATTTCTTGAGACCGTGTTCAATAATACTAAATTCTTGATTGGAATCTTGAAGACAGTGAGTATGGAATGATAGGAACAGACGCTATTTATGTGTTTGTCAAAGCTCTTTTAGGAACAAATAATAGAAACTCAACTTCAAATGGTCAATTTGTTGACGCAGATAGACAAAAAATCCTGAGGTTTATTTAATACAGTTAAGTTGGCATGTTCAGAAAATGTGATTAAAATCAGTCTCTTTTAATTTCGTGGGTCTACTTTCTTCTGTGTTGGCGTCATTGTCATTTGGATTCTCCCCTGTTGTGGCAAGATGTTTTCCAACAATCTCAGTTATAGAGAGCTTCTCTTTCCCAGTCTAGCAAATGTTCTGGGGTCGTGGCTCATTGGCCTATGTTGGGTCACCCATCCATCCCTGACCAATCCTAGTTACTGAGGCATGATATGCTCAGATTGGCGTGGTCCCTGGAGTTGTGGAGTAGGGTCAGCTTTGGTCAAACCACACAGGCTAAGACTGGAGGAGAATAGTTCTCTGGGAGAAAAGTCAGAGTGCTGTCATCAGAAGAGATGGGAGTGGAAGCTGGGTACACAAAGCATAAAATATGTCATCAATAACCTGTCTAATTGCTTGTTTGTGTTTGCATTTTCTTTCAGGACAGTGTTGAGTTTAGAAATATCTGCAGTCATCTGGCTTTACAGATCGAAGGACAGCAGTTTGACAGGGACTTGAATGCTGCCCACCAGTGTCTGAAGACGATAGTGAAGAAGTTGATTCAGTCACTTGCTAACCTTCCTTCTGATGCTCATGTGGTAGCCTGTGCTTCCTTGAGACAGATCTTACAGAATCTCCCAGACATTTGAGTGTTCAAGACACTGGAATCAAAACCACAGCTAAGCACTGCTAAGAGAACTTGGCCCTTACCTTCCTAACTGAATCAACAGACAATAGATGTTTTTATTTTCACTAAAGAGACACTTGATAAAATATACAGCAGTCTGACCAGTGGCATCTATACCCTTATAGCATGTTGGTGAAAAAATTTTAAAACAGGACTTCACATTTTTAAATATGTTGACATATTTGATGACTTTTTGATGGAAATATATTCTACTTTGTAGAACCGATTGGATTCTATGTGTGTATATATATATATTTATTAATTCATGTTAAGTATTCATTTTAATTGAATGATACATGAATTTATATTCATATTAATGTAGGCCTACGAGGTTAAATATCATTATTTACATGATTAAAGCTCCATGTTTCTTATAATTATCTTGAATAAATAGGATATTTGGTAATTGATATGTTCTACTTACTGAGCACTCTATTTTTTTGTTATGAGACTGAGCTATTGTAGGACCACATGTGTCAGTAATTATGAGCTCCAATCCTGGCATTAATAACCTACTGTTGGGCAGAAAAGCTGCTTCTAAACCTTGTGTTTTCATATAATGCTTTGTAAATGTAAAATGATAATGAGCTATGAAGTACCAAGGATATATGATATGTGAATACAAATACAGTATTATTAAAGTCATATGGGAACATCTAGCTCTTCTTACTGTTTCTAAATATTCCACTTGAAGTAGGGAATTCCTGTGAAAAAAGGAGGGGGTGGATATACTGGCAGGTTTTCCTAAATATTTAGAGTTAGGAAAAGAGAGGGTGATTTTTTTCACAACAACGATCTGCACAAGCTTAGGAAAAACCATTTCCTATTGTTTAATGATGATTGTGTTAAAAATCAAAATAAATTGAAATGCTCATTTTCCCTTAAAATTTTAATAGAAATGACATTGGATTTACAGTGTATATGTGCATCTTGTTTCCTAAAGAAATGAAAAACCAGGTCTGTATGGTAAGAGTATATCTACTATTAAAAAATAAAATGTTAATAGTAATCAAATCCTTTTACATACCCACATACTCTATTCCTATTGCTTCCAAATATTTTCTTCTAGAACCTGAGGAAGAAAGGTAAATATATGGCTTCTCTTACCAAAGAATTAGCACAGACACATTCTGATGTTAAGTAAAACAGCAAGTCGCCATAGGTGGTAATGTCCCTCATTTTCCATGTTAGTAACTGTTAAAAGAATGTATGAAGATAGTCCTGAATGTACCAAGTGTTCTAATCCTGCTTCAGGTCACTCTGGCTATGTCTACATGACAACACTTTGACAGGGAATAAAGTGGTGTCTCCTGTCCTGGGCCAAGTGTGCCCCTCCCCATTCAGTGTCAGCCCTGAACCTTCCTTTCTTTAGGTTGGGGGAGGGGTATCATGTCAGCAGCAATCATCAATCAACCAGTGAATCTACTTAGTGATGAATAGATTCGCTGTTTAAATGGGAAGAGTCACTGGCCTGACCATACCACAGCATGGCCACTGGGTTCTTAGAGGTTTCCACCTTTCCCTCAAATTACTGGCTCTTGCCTGATTGATAAGAGTGGGGGGGGGTCCTCAAGACCGCTCATTAGAGGTCATTGAGCTCTCACCCTGACTGTGTACATAGATGATATGAAGTGGGGGGTGGGGGCCAAGGTGCTATACTGCCATTTGGAAATACTTGCATCATGTAGATCCAACCTTAATATTTTTCCAACATTCTAGTGATAGCAGCACCTGAACAGAGTGGATATCAGAGTTAGTACTGTGAGAAGACAAAATAATGAGAATAGTTTTTCCAAAGAAAATGAAATATCATATAATGTCTGCATTTTATCATTGAGTGCATCCTTAGAAAATGGAATGTAACAAAAACTGAGGATGGTTTTGGAAATTGATTGCTCTCTAGCAACTTTGTGTGAATTTTTTTGCAAGCACTATTTTATAAATTATATAAAATGTTATAAAAATAGAAAAAACACATTGCTTCTCTTTACATGTAATTGACCATGTCCACAGAGGAGAATTAAATATATGAAACAATTCTAAATGAAAGATGAAAGGTGTGTGTGTGTTCGTGTGTGTGCGTGTGTGTGTGTGTGTGTATGCAGGCTGGGTCAGAAAGGAAGAGCATTTGTTTCTTGGGAATAGTTTTTGGCTTTTAGTTTTCCTGCTCCTAGGATACTTTGTCTTCTGGGAATATCACTATTTTATTGTGCTGTCCTTCTCCAGGGAAATTACCCGGAGTCTTTGCTAAAGATCATTGTTATTAGTAGGCTGCCTTCCCCATTGTGATCAGTAGCTCTCCTAATAAATATTAATATTAAAGTTTATTTTTTCTCTTACCTCAAGAAATCTTGAGAGTTTTTTTTTTTATTTGTGCTTTTGCTTTCCCCCCACTTTGCAATGTTTCCCACAAACCAATTCAAACGTGATGCATCTTTCGAGACCTAATTTGCACCCCCTCGCCCTATGAACCCTCCTGGGTCATCCTAGTAGGACATGGCCTCTTCCTCTTGGGAAATCACATGAAATACATTTTGTGCTACTAAACAGGCATTTATCATATACCATCTTACAGCATGGCTATTCCTATACCTGCTGTCTAAATGCAGCTTGCTGAGGGCAGGGATTATTCCAGACATCTCTGTATGTTGTATAGTACCCACAGTTCAAAGTTCTTTGACTACTCTTACTTCCATTGCACCACCCTAGTTCTTAATTCGCTGGCTTCCTTTCTCTGGTCAGTTTGTATGATATTTGGTTGTATGTGCCACCAATTCCCTTCTCTTAATTTCCTTGGGTTGGAGGCTACTGGCAAACTCCATTCCTTGTCAAGACCAATTCTGCTTACTCCATGTCTGTACATGAGTTCATTTTGTTTTATTGATGAAGGAGACTTTATTATTTTTTTTTAATTTTTAAAATTTCTTTTTAAAAATATAAATACAGTTGATATAAAATATTATATTAGTTACATTAGCTTCAGCTGTACAAAATAGTGATTTGACAGTTTTATGCCTTAAATATGATCACCCTTCTAATTCTAGTAATGATCTGTGACCATGCAAACTTTTCACAATATTATTCTCTTCATATTTTTACCCACCCCCTCCCTTCTGGTAACCATCCCTTTAGTCTCTGTTTCTATGGGTCTTTGTTTTGTTTTGTTTTTCATATTTCACATTTAACTGAAATCATACAACATTTGTCTTTCTATGTATGACTTATTTCACTTAGCATGGTACCCTCTGGGTCCATCCATGTTGTCACAAATGGAAAAATTTTGTTATTTTTTATTGCTGTGTAGTGTTCCAGTGTATATATTTACCATTTCTTTTTTATCCATTTATCTATCAGTAGATCCCTACAGTCTCTTTAAGTGATGCTGGGGAAATTGGATAGCTACATGCAATAAAATTTGATACTGGACCCCTTTCTTATACTACATACAAAAATAAACTAAAAATGGATTAAAGACTTAAATATAAAACATGACACCACAAACTCTTGGAAGAAAACATAGGTAGTAAATTATTTTACATTAGTCTGAATAATATCTTTTTGAATATGTCCCCTTAAGCAAGGGAAACAAAAGCAAAATATACAAATGTGACTTCATCAAACTAAAAAGCTTCTGCACAGAGGAGAAAACAATGAACACAACAAAAAGACAACCTATAGAATGTACATGAGTTTTGAATATGTCTTGAGAACAACACACAGTTGTGCCAATCTCACTGATTCATGACTCCCAATCTCAAGGGACTCTTGTGTTATTCATTAATTCTACTTCATTTTCTAGACCCCCGTTTTATAGTATGGTAGCCACTGGTCACATGTGGCTATTGAACACTTGAATATGACAAGTCTGAATTGAGATATGTTGAAACTGGAAAATGCACACTGGCTTTTAAAAACTTAGTACATATTAGAAAAAAAAAAAGAATGTAAAATGCCTCAGTGATTTTTTATACTGATTATATGTCCATATTATAATATTTTGAATATGTAGGGTTAAATAAAATATATCGATAAAATTAACTTTTTTTTTTTTTTACCTTTTAAGGTGGCTATTAAGAAAATGGAGTTTTATATGTGGCTTGCATTATAATTCTATGGGACATTGCTCTCATAAAAAGTTTACTAGACAATTCAGTGCTGTTCTTGACCACTCATTCTTTATGGACTGTTCCACACCTTCTCAAACTTGGTGCTTCTCCATCCTCTTCATTCTTAGCTGATGACCTTGCTTCTGACTGCAAGGGAAAATAAAATCCATCAACAGTCATGTTTATCTTCACACTAGCAGATGTACTTTATGTCTGTGTTCTCTTCATAAGGAGGACCTTCCCTGCTCCTTCTCCGACCGAGGCTAGTTGACTACTGAGGCACTGAGCCCCGTCCCCCCTAACTTACTTGAGGACTTCCGTCTTACACTTATTCTCTTGTCTACATTAACAATTTTCACTTCTCAATAGGCCATTTCTATTAGAATGATATTATGTAATGATATTTTCAATCTTAAAAAAACAATTCTTCCAAATAGTACTCTCTATGTTCTGCTTAAGAGCATAACTCATTGCAATTTTCCAAATTATTTGTGTACAATTCCGTTTTAACAATTCCTTTTTGAACTTACTCCAAACAGATTTTTTTGTCCACAACTCCAACACTGCCCTTGTCAAGACCTCTAATGACTGCCCCACTGATAATTTCAATGGTAAATTCTCAATTCTCCTCTTACTTGAGCTATCAGCAGCTTTTGACACAACTAATTACTCTTGTCTTGAATCACTTTCTTATTTTGGTTTCCAGGTCAGCAGACTTTCATGATTTTACTTCTTCACTAACTCACTTCAAACACTTTTTCTCTGGTTCCTCCACATCTCCCTGACTTCTTAATTTTGGGGTGCTTCAGGCTCAGACTCGGTCCTCTTTTCTATCTACACGCACTCCATGGCAATT